CTACTCCCACTGGAATGTACCTGGAACACAGCCCGTGGGTGTTGGGATCTGGAGGCTTGTCTAACTTTCTCCACCAGAGGGCACCTGAGATCTTCCTTCTGAGGTCATGAGCTGACTTCTACACACCTGTTTCCCATCTGCTGATCAGGAGGCCTTCTTAAGGAGGAAGAGGCTGACACTTCCCTGCCAGAGTGTTTGCCAGTAATGGTACCAGCAAAACCTGAGCCAGCCTTTCAGATCAGTTTCTCTGATATTTTGTGAACTAGTCTGACCCTGTGTTCTTCTGCCTCTCAGATCCTGACTTATCTGGATATCTGTATAATCCTGGAGAAAAACAATCGCTGCCTGGAACCTGCCTGTCTGCCCTCCGCCTCAGCCTCCGTCTCTGCCTCTGCCCTCAGCCTGCCGACCAGCCTCTGGACCCACAAGGTTCCCCCCCCCCGCTGATCTGAATTCCCTCTGAGCAGGTATTAATCCAAGCCGCCGTTTTACTGCAATTTTCCTGGATCCACTCTAACTGATCTGTCCTCCTCTAGTGGTTTCCCTCCCGTGACCAGTCTGACGAGCCAAGACCCCGTGCACATTTCATTGTAAACCTTGTAAATAAACCATTTAACTCTTTCCCTGTCTGAAGAGTGTTTCTGCATGTGGGTTAGACGCTTAGACCCCAACATGACAGTGGGAGGCTTCCAGAGGGCATCCTCAAAAGATATCTGTGCCATGTCAGCTGACTTTTTACAGTGTGGAGCAGAAGAGGTACTACTCTGAGTTTATGCCAAATGATCAAGCTCCTCACCCCATCTCTAAGGGAGAGCCCAGCCCCCCTGTGAAGAAAGCTAATTTCTGCCGCTTGTATCCCTGATCTTGTTCTTTCAGGTCATAATCCAGAATTCATGACCATAAGTGAGGGTAGGAAAATAGACCAACTAGTAAATGAGGAGCTCTGCCTTTTCACTCAGCTCTCTCTTCACCTTGACAGACAGGTGCAGGGTCTGCATTATAACAATACCTGCAAAGACGCATCAAACGATCTCCTGCTCCATTCTTCCCTCACAAGGAAAAGGACCCCAAGATACTTGAGCTCCTCCACTTCAGCAGTCACTCTTCTCCCACCGGAAGGGGAAAGCCAGCTTTTTCTGGTGGAGAACCATGGCTTTGGAATTGAAGTAACTGACTCATCCCGGTTGCTTCACAGGCACCTGCAAACCGCCCCAGTGCATGCTGTAGGTCTTGGCAGAAGGAAGCTAGCAGAGCCATGTCTTCTGCAAAAAGGAGGGATGAGATCTACTGGTGCCCTAACCAGACCCCCTCCAGCCCTTGGCTGTGCCTCAAAATCCTGTCCATAAAGGTTATCAACAGGATCAGTGACAGAGGGTAGCCCTGTCAGTGTCCAACATGAACAGAGAAAGAATCATACTTAATGCCAATCAGATTAAACCCCTGCTCTGCTTATACAGAGACCTGATAGCCCCTAGTAAAGGGCCCCCGACTCCGTACTCCTGACGCATCCCNCTTGTATCCCTGATCTTGTTCTTTCAGGTCATAATCCAGAATTCATGACCATAAGTGAGGGTAGGAAAACAGACCAACCAGTAAATGAGGAGCTCTGCCTTTTCACTCAGCTCTCTCTTCACCTTGACAGACAGGTGCAGGGTCTGCATTATAACAATACCTGCAAAAACCCATCAAACGATCTCCTGCTCCATTCTTCCCTCACAAGGAAAAGGACCCCAAGATACTTGAGCTCCTCCACTTCAGCAGTCACTCTTCTCCCACCAGAAGGGGAAAGCCAGCTTTTTCCGGTGGAGAACCATGGCTTTGGAATTGAAGTAACTGACTCATCCCGGTTGCTTCACAGGCAGCTGCAAACCGCCCCAGTTCATGCTGTAGGTCTTGGCAGAAGGGAGCTAGCAGAACCATGTCTTCTGCAAAAAGGAGGGATGAGATCTGCTGGTGCCCTAACCAGACCCCCTCCAGTCCTTGGCTGTGCCTCAAAATCCTGTCCATAAAGGTTATCAACAGGATCAGTGACAGAGGGTAGCCCTGTCAGTGTCCAACATGAACAGAGAAAGAATCATACTTAATGCCAATCAGATTAAACCCCTGCTCTGCTTATACAGAGACCTGATAGCCCCTAGTAAAGGGCCCCCGACTCCGTACTCCTGACGCATCCCACACAAGGCATCATTAGGGACACAGTCAAAAGCATTTTCCGTTTCCACAAAACACATTTGAGCTAGTTGGGCAAACTCCCAAGCACCTTCGAGCATCCTGCACAGAGTATATAGCTGGTCCACTGTTTCATGGCCAGGACAAAAAACGCTCTACTCCTCCTGAAGCAGAGGTTCGACAATCAGCCGGACTCCCCTCTTTTCGGGACCCTGGCATAGGTCTTCCCAGGGAGGCTGAAAGGTGTTATCCACCTATAGTTGGAACGCACCCTCTGGTCCCCCGTCTTATGCAGGGGACCCACCACCCCGGTCTGCATATCCAGGGGTACTGTCCCAGGACTTAAGTCAGATCTCATTCACCCCCAATGCTCTGCCACCATGGAACACAGCCTTGTTGATGAACGAATCCAGGCCTGAGCACACCAGCCAGATTGAAGAGATCCTTAAAGTATCCCTTCCCTCATCCAAAAATATCCTCTTTCAAGATCAGTAGCTCTCGACTCCCACCAAAAACAGTGTTAGCACAGCAGTGCTTCCCCCTCCAGAGACACCAAACCATTTGTCTAAGGAGTTTTTGCCAAGGCAGCCACCCGGGCAGTAACATGCTTGGCCTCATAACAACTGCTAGCTGTTTAAAGGGATCCAGGCAAGGCTAGATAAGACTCCCTTTTCAGCTTGACGGCATCCTTTAGTGTCGGTGTCCACCAACAGGTTTAGGGATTGCCGCGACAACAGGCACCGCTGACCTTACAGACAAAGCTATGGGCGGCTGCATCGACAATGTAGGCAGGGAGCAAGGACCACTCAGACTTAATGCTTCTCTAAAATCAGAGGCTAAATGTTCCTGCGATGTTCTGTGTGAATCTGGGAACAAAGATTTAACTATGTCTGTTACAAGCAGCTTTAATCTCATGAAGCACCTTCTATCAACAAACCATTAAGAAAACAATGACTGACAATTGGCTTCCCTATTTTTGATCAATGCCATCCATCCATCCATCCATTTTCTTACACGCTTGTCCCGAGTGGGGTCGCGAGGGGTGCTGGTGCCTATCTCCAGCAGTCAATGGGTGAGTCTTTACTTCACTCCTATCCTATATTCACTTGGTATACATTAATGTTATTTTTTACATGGACATACTGGAAGTAGGAGGACGTTTCTGGGAAGAGGAAGCCTGGGAGTCTCTGCTTAGACTGCGGCGCCCTCAACAGAGTTCCGGAAAAGTGAAAGGCATCAAATATAAGTACCAGAATCTGAAGTTTATGTACAGAAATTAGGGATGTCCTGATTCACTTTTGTAATTATTGATACCTATATTGACCCGATAAAAATTATACATAGTTTTATTACTTTTCTTGTATTGTGGAATTTTAGAAACACCTTGATCAAGTAATCTTATTTGAACTAACAACAATGTAAACAACAATTGGTAGAAAACGACTGAACCACTATTTATTAACCAGTGGCTCACATAAACTTGAAACAAAGGCCGGTAGAAACAAGGTGTTTATATCAGGTTGCGTATATGGGGAAAGTTAGATGCAAGCCGACATCATTAATATATTTGTGGATTAGCTGATTTTGTGCCAAATTCCAATATTATATTGGGACATGCCAGAATGAAATGCTATCAAAACAACTGATCTACTCAAAACCAACTCTTACCTGCTCGGGTTGGATCCTGGTTTGCAGACCTGTAAGAAAAGAAAAATATTTTGAGATATTTCATGGATCTTCAGGTAAAAACATGCAGCTTTCATCATAGTTCATGTCAGCGACACTCTGTCTCCATCAGTCAGGATGAACCCGACTCACAGTGACCCTTTAGAACATGTGTGAAGGTGATAAATAGCTTGTCTTCCTGATACATGTGGAGTTCCAGAGATTATCTCCTCACTAAACTCATAACATATGCAGAACCTTCTTACAGTAACCCTATCCACACCCCACAGTCTGGGGCACCATCCCCATGCTACCAGCAGGGGCATCAGAGGAGGTTCTGCTGAAGGGGTTTTGTTTTCATCTGTGTTGGTTGGTCTGTTGATCTTTTTTTAAAATAACAAAAAAGTTATAGACAGATTTATCTGAAATCTTCAAAGAAGGTACGTATTGTGAAAGGCAAGAAATTCTAACATTTTAGTCATGATCCAAATCCATGATTTCTTTTCAAACCTGTGATTAGTGGTGTTAACTTAAGGTGGAATAGGTCAATATTTCGAGGAAAATAAGCTACAGAGGTCTACGGATGGAACAGTGGAACGCAACTGCCGAAGGAAGAGTTGCGCGAGATGCAGAAAGAGAGACGCAGAAAGTGAGGCTGCATCCAGCAATACCGGACAATGCTATTAGCCTGGAGGGGCTCACGCTATACCGCGCCGATAGGAACAAAGAACTCTGCGGTAAGACTCAATGTGGTGGGCTCTGTGTTTGCATCAACGACAGCTGTTGTGAGAACGCTAGACCAGTCGCTAGCTTCTGCTCTCAGACATCGAGTTTCTGACTGTTAACTGCAGACCGTTCTATATGCCCAGAGATTTCAGTGTGGTTAGCATCACTGCTGTTTATGTGACCCCCAGTGCTAACACTAAAGAGGCTGTGAATGTTCTTTACCTGCCTATCTCTGAGCTCTCCGACCTGCACACAAGAAGGGTGTTTTCATAATTACTGGGGATTCTCCCTCCTTTTTACTAACATGTGAACTTTGCAACTCAGGGTGAAAACATTTTAGACCTGGTTTACTCTAACATCAAAGATGCATTCAGAGCAGCCCCCCCGCCCCCACCTCGGGTCATCAGATCATCTCTCATGCTTATCCCTACATATAAGCCCTAGCTGATCAGGGCTAAAACGACAGATAAAGAGGTCAGAGTGTGGTTTGAGGGCACCATGGAGAAACTCCAAGACTGTTTTGAATGCTCTGACTGGAACATCTTCATGGCTGCAGCAACATATGATAACTTCTTAAATATTGATGAGTATGCCATGACTGTGTCAGCCTACATCAACAAATGCATT